CTGGTCGCGGCGTCCAGGGGACGTATTTTCTGCGTCCACGATTTTTTCGTCGTCGGGTAACTTACGCTTTTTAACATTCGGTCTATGTGGGGGCCAGTGAATGTTTGTGAAATTCTCAACAGGTGTCTCATTTTCGTCGTTCTTTTTCTTGGCCCTTCCCTTTGAACAGACGGGGGGCCGTTCGCTCTTTAACTCCGTGGGGAGCCCGGGGACACCCCCCGTGCTGCCAGCTCTAAGAAAGCTGGCGTCGGCAATTGTCAGGCCGGGCCGGTTTTGAGATTTTGACATTTTTAACATTTTAGATGCTGAAATGTTACTTTCTTTTTCGCTTGGCGGCGTGACACTGTCAGCTTTACATCTGGTCTTGATTTCGTGCCATGCCGGTTTCGTCTCCCTGGAAAAGGGAATGTCCAGCCACGGGCTTTCTGCCCGTTCTCTGTAACTGTTGCCTCTCTGGCCACTGTCTCTCCCTTGGACTGGATACTGTTTTCCACCCTCGTCTCTAAGTCCCCGTGCGCCGCACGCAGAGACGCCGGGCCGCAGCTGGGCGGCCTCGGCTTGGGGCCCGCCCCTGCGGGGCGCCCTGGAAACCTCGCCCCAGGGCCCTGCCTCAGGGGACCTTCTGGGAGCCCTCAAGCCGGAATCAAAGCTTCCTGAGGGGGGCGGCTGCGAACCGCCCTCCGTCTCGAAGCTATTTTGGCGCCGCAGGTTTCCCACGTGCTTCCCGCCGGCCGCCTCCTCCACACGCAGGTCTGCGGGGCTACGGAAAAGCGCATCAGCTGAAACCAGCAGCGCCTGGAAGGGCCGGGGGGGCAGCGCCCACTCTTTCTCCAGCTCGGACACGCGAGGCACCACAGGCAGCCTCCACGCCGCCGCGGAGACACCGCCAGGCTCCTCAGCACGAAGCCGCTTACTACTGGGGGGACGGGGACCGGGTTCTTCAGGAGGCGGAGGGGGGGCGGCCGGCTCCCCGAGCTCGGCCACCCCAGGCGTGAGGCGCGTGAGCGACATGACAAAGGACTGAGGGGATCTGTCCGCGGTTCCCGCCAAGCGCTAGTCTTTAGCGCGCGGGAGAGGCTCCGCCTCATTCCAGGGCCGCCCCGGCCACGCCCCTTTCAGCGGGCCTTAGCCGCCGCTTTAC